AAAAAAAAAAAAAAAAAAAAAAAAAAAAAAAAAAAAAAAAACAAAAAAAGAACAATCAAACATTTGATAAAAAGATCATGAGCCTTATTAGTATTTTATTATTTTATCTATTTATAATTTCATGGACAATATATATATAATAAAGATTATAGATATTATATTATTACAATAAATAAATGGCTCTTAAACTTCTGGTCACAACTCTGGCATAGATCCAGTAAGATTGGAATGTATTGTTGATTATATTGTTTTTTTATTTATTAATATTCTAATCAGATTAGTTTACTAACTAAAAAATATGTTTCGTCTGATTGAAATTTAATTTTTCAAAATTAAGAACAAAGCAACTGCTTGATTTAGTGCTCGAACGAATGTAAAAATTAGTTACATGCATATCTATAATTTATGCTCTAGTTTCGCCGATTCTCAGCCCTTAAAATTTGTATGACAGCAAAAAAGAAAAAAAAAATGTTTATTTATATTTATGCAATAACATATACATATATACTTAATCGTTACTAAATAGTAAAACAATTAATGCAAATGCAAATATATGAATAAATAAATTTAATTAAAATTAATTATAATTTATTAAGTCAATTATGTGGCGGTAATTTAACGAATGGAAAAGCAAACCTTTTTGAGCAATTAAGTATTTCCGTTTTATCCAAAATTTCAGTTTCGTATTCGCTTCAATAGTTAATAGTTCAGTTCAGTTAAATAATATATAAATGTTTGACTGCATCTTTAAACTTATTATGTGTGTAATGCACTCTTCCACTTGAAAGTCTGAATTAGCCGACGGCATAAAAATGTTGCCTACAATTGCGCGCGTTTCGTCAATTACAGCGGAAGCCGAGGGAATTGGATAATCGCGTAAGCCGGAGATCTGGTCATCCTTTCGAGCCGCATGCGAACGAGAACGTGTTGCAAACTCAACTGAATTCAAAAGTTGCTGGTCGTAAAATTTTTACAATATCTGCTGCAGCAATTGTCGACGCCGACGGCAGCAGCGCTGCTTTCTCTGTGTGTGTCTCTGTGGATGTGTGTGTGTGTGTGCGTCTGCATGCTTCGTGGCTGTGATTTTTCTCATGTTCGTGTGGGATGCGGTTCGCATCCAGCTTGTTTCTGCTTTTTTCCGGGATTTACACAGCAGCGACAGAACAAAAGCAGCAGCAGCAGCAGCAGCAGTGGCAGCGGCAGAGGCAGCGGTAGAGGCAGCGACAGCAACAAGAGCAGTAGCTGCGTAACATCATCATCATTCAGATTGTCAGGAGCAACCACCAGCAGTTACATAAAAACGCCACCACCCACCCAACGAGCCACCCACCTATTGCAGCGAGCACCCTTCCATTAGCCTCTACGCCCCGCTCCTCTCAGCCCGCACGCGACTGTATGAAAAGTTATTGAAATTATGAAATAAATGGATAATTGGCTGGTTGCAGGGTGAAGTGGCTGAGCGGGTGAGTGGCTCAGTGGGCGGTGCCTTGAATTATTAACGGGAAAACAATATGGCGTTGCGGTAGAAATAACATTTACTGATTAAGGAGCGCAATGATTACCCGTCGCAACATCCAATAATTAATTAGGCATGTATGAGAGCTAACTACGTGAATTTACTATATTCCTACATTATAACACTCGGTATTCAGAGTTACGGTAGGCAACTTGAGTCTTATATATTTAATTTTGTATTATACAATATCTGTATTTAAAAATAAATTTAAAATCATATTAAATTATATAAATTCCTGAATTTAATTAGCCTATTACATTTTTTTTTTTTTTTTATTATACTCATTTTGCTTCTCATACATTTCAGTTGCCCGCTCGTCTTATACATAAGTGTTCGGCTTTTAAATTTACCACTTAATAAACTACAGAAAATACCAACG